GGGGGGAGGATTTTTTTGGCTGATTCTTGGTTTTTTCCTGAAGTCTCAGTAGCTCTGGATTACTCATGTGCAGTTCCCTTCATATCTTCCTAACAAGATTAGGGAGCCAACTCAAACTCCTGTAAGAATGCAGACATTTGTCTGTTGGCAACACAGCCTATTTTCAGAATGCTGTCTTTTCAAGAAGAGATGCAAGCAAGCTTTATTTTTCTCAGAAATTGATGGAGCTTGAAGTATTAGCTTGTTCTGGTATTTGTTTGTCCTCAGCTTTCACGGAAGATGTGACACCCCCCCCCCTTCTTTTGCATAATTAGCACCCCTGCCATAAAGTGAAAGTAAAGGTTTGGTTACAAGATCAGAATACAAAAGTTAGTCTGTGTTGCAGCTGATGTGCCCAGAGCCTTTTACCCATGTAAACTGGAGATGCTTCTGCTCTTATTTTGTTTCTGTTGGGGAAACAAGCTATTCTACAAATCTACCATGCCTGGTACTTCATCAGCTTTGCTCTAGACAGCTCCTGTGTTCACAGGAGCAAAAGGATTGGATGCATGTACATGCTGGAAAGTTGAGAAAATATTGCTGATTAACCACTAGATAATGCAGACGAGGCAGAAAATACCTGGAGTGGGGGGAACAGACTAATTTGGAATTGGGCTTACACGATTTTTACCTTTTACCTTGCTTCATTACCTTACCAGGTAATATTCAGTTAACATTTTTTGTTTTATTCCGTTAAACCATTCTCATTAAACTACCTGGGTGCCAAAAAACTGACTGAATTAGATTCCTACACACCTTCTCCTTCAGTTGCTTTGTCACTGAATCTGTTTTAGTGGTTCAGATTATGCCCTACTCCTCCCCCCCCCATGCCTCTGCACCAGTATAATTTTAGCAGCTTTAATAAGGATGCTTTTGTTTTGCACTGGTGTGTGAGATGCTATTCCATATATGCACCCAATTCTGAGATGGGGTTACTTTGCACTCAGTACAAGACTTAAAGGCAGGAGAATTGGTTGTGCTTTGCCTTTTTGCTGGGTGCGCAACTATCAGCTGCCAGAAGTTCCAAGAAGAAGTTGAAACACCTAGGGACTGCTTGAGCACACATGCGCTTTGGGCATACTTTGTACCATGGAGCCTGAAGAGTTGGCAACACAAAGTTGTCTCTTGCCTCAGAATTATCAATGTTGGGGAAATTCACAGCTCAGGTTTATGGCTGCTTTGTTACAGTAGAGTACCCCGAACAGATTCTTGGCCCCAATATCATTTATCAGCCCAATGGATCACAGCACTGGGGAGGGAAATGGAGTGATCAGGCTGAGTTCCCTTCCTCAACCTGATCGTAGCACTGGGAAGGGGAACTCAGCCGGGCTGCTTCGAAATTCTTGAAACGTTTCGACTACCCTCACTTTGTTTCGAAGCCCTTTGTTTTGTTTAAATTTCACTGGTTTCAAGCTCGAGGTGAGTTGAAACAGTGTAGAAACGAAACAGCCAGCGAAATTTCGCACAACCCTACTAATTAGTTGTAGCAGCCAAACTAATCGGTATCAAATTTTTCTATACAACTAATTTGCATAGTTGTCACTAGGTCTCTGGATGTTTGTCTCTCATTAGACTATTTGCATCAATATTTTTTTTGTCCCTTTATTGCCTTCACTGTGAATATTTGTCAACTGATTGAATATAGTGCGAGGAAAAATTAGCCTCGTTTAAACCGATAATAGAAAACTGCCTTCTCTTCCTTTTTTTTAAAATTTCTTAAATCTTTCATTTTGAAAACCTTGGTGTATGCACGTGTCAAGCACTAAGGTATTTCAAATAAATTGCTTAATGCAGGGCATCCTTACAAAATTCCACGGCTCACCTGCCCAGCAAAATATTTGCTCACTGACTCTATCTGGATGCTGCAGATGCAAAATGAATCTGAGGTTTCACACTCCTAATAAAAGGACCCAATGCAGTTAGGGTTTGGTGTTAGGATAATAACTATTTGTACCCTCAGGTCCTGATTCAACACCACTAGAGGTCTTTCATTGACTTCATTGGGATTTGGATGTAGTCCTTAGTGTCTCCTTTGGACAATCTTAAACTCTGTGATTCATTAGGCAATGGCCAATTGTCACTATAATGTTTAAACTTCTTGGCATTTTCAGGCTTAGAATTGATGATAGGAAAGAAAGTACAGGGCTTCAAGTCTTATCACACTGTTTCAGACACTTGATACCCTTTGTTCACAGTAATAAGTCCAGAAATATATAGTAGTAATTTGTTTGGTTTTTATTGGACTGAAAACTTTCCTTAATTTTGTAACTAATGGACCAACACTAGCATAATGGTAGCATTTAGTACTAGTGACAAAGAAATGACAGTTTTGGTTGAAAAGGGGAAATATAGGAGGAAGTTATTAGTGGAGTCCCTTAAAGTTCAATCTTGACAGTGATCTTATTTCATATTTTGTCTTGGCACAAAAAATAGTGTGCAGACTACACTTGGGGGAGGCCATAAATACAGAGGAGCATCCAGTTATCTGATCTTGAGGTTTAGAGGAATAGAAATGGAGTAAAATTAATACAATTTTTTTTACTATAAACTAGGAGGAGAGATTTTAGTTGATTGCAGGATGACTGTCACCAATGTGCTGGGCCATAAAAAGAGTAAATGCAACCCTTGGGTGCATCAGGAAAGGTATTTTCTGTTGATGTGAAGAAGCATTAATGCCATGTATGAAGCACTGGTGAGACCTCAACTGAAATACTCTATTCTTTTTTGGTCATCTGTGTTCAAGAAAGATGAATTCAAACTAAAACAGGTGAGGGGCAAGGATTTCTTAGGGTGATAACTTTTACTGAACCATCTGTGTAGTTGGGCTAAAGCTATACAAGCTTTTGAATATAAGGTCTGAGGAAGAATGCCTTAAATTTGAAAGCTTGTTTAACTTTAGCCCAACTACATAGTTGGTCCAGTGTGGTGTCTCATATAATTTCTGGACCACTATGGCTATACCATCACTCTGACACAACTAAAACAGGTACAAAGGAGAGTTGCTAGGAAGAGTAACAGAGCCTATTAAATGAGGAGAGGCTAGAAGACCTTGGCTTGTTCACCCTAGTAAAAGAAGGCTGAGACAGGATTGTTGACTATAAATACTTGTAAAGGGCTTAGCACCGGGAGGGGAGGAGGAATAAGTATTTAAACTAAAGGAAAAGGTTGGCACAAGAACAAATGGGTATAAATTGGCCATGAATAAATGCAGAGCCTTCTTTCATCTGATTTTTCTTTCTCCCTTCTCTTGTACTTGAATGTCCAAATTTTTCTGTAGAAGCAATATGCAAGGCAAATGTGGAGGAAAATGGGGCTTGCCCATGTTTCTACCTACAGTTGGCTCAAAACTTTCAGGAGGAAGTAGTTTCTTTTTTGCATATGTGTAAATGGGGTTTTCCTCCAGAGTAGATGGCCCCATGCACATTCTTATTTGTAGATG